TTCATACCACATCATATCACCATCATCATCACCAAAGTCATCATCAACATCAGCATCATCATCAGCATCATCATCATCATCATCATCCTTATCACCATCATCATCACCAAAGTCATCATCAACATCACCATCATCATCAGCATCATCATCATCATCCTTATCACCATCACCATCATCATCACCAAAGCCATCATCAACATCACCATCATCATCAGCATCATCATCATCATCATCATCCTTTTCACCATCATCATCACCAAAGTCATCATCAACATCACCATCATCATCAGCATCATCATCATCATCATCATCCTTATCACCATCATCATCACCAAAATCATCATCAACATCACCATCATCATCATCGTCATCATCATCACATCATCATCCTTATCACCATCATCACCACCAAAATCATCATCAACATCACCATCATCATCATCAGCATCATCATCATCACCATCATCCTTATCACCATCATCATCACCAAAGTCATCATCAACATCACCATCATCATCAGCATCATCATTAACATGCCTTTTGTTCCCCCCACACTGCTTGGGATCTCTTGCCGGGTCATCTTTCGGGCGGATCAACCCTGGCAAACGTGAAGCGGTATGTATACCCAACAGGAGTCAACCATATCGTGGTGTGCGATATTTGTAATTTCGGGCGTCAGCATGCATCACAACATTTTACGAATAACAAATTTCACTCTATGTTTGTGTGGTATGCGTGTGCGCCTTTTTTGAAAATTCGCAGGGCACAAATTGCATTGATAATTTTTTTGGTGGTCAAACATGTGTTTCCAATTGTGAAAACTTCACCACAAAACATTGGTAGATTCCGCAGTCTGCGAAGATTGTTCCCAACAATGATCGGAAAACCTATTCCAAATGCTATGCGTCAGTTGGAAGGTGGTGTTTGCAATGACCCAATGACAACATGACGATATGCTGCCTGAGGCTTGCGTTGATGTGGACAATTTTGTTTCCATTCATTCCAATCAGTTCTTTGAGGCCAGTGTGCAATGTTTTGATTTTTCAAGGAACACAAAACTGTTCGGATATTTGCTAAACTGCGCATTTACTTGTATTTTTTGGATGGTGTAAATGTTGTGTTGCTACAATGCTGCTACAATGTTTCTAAATATCTTGAATCCAACCCATGGGAAGAAACATGAACATGCATACCGTGCAAAAGTACTTAGCAATGAACGTCGGTCATTCAATCCACGCAGTTTACAACGGTGGATTATTCAAATCATGTGTGGGTCCGTAAAATCGAACAGTTTTTTTTTTTAAGGGCAATTTTCATATATATATATATGTATATTGACATCAATTTATATGCAATATTATGCGATCAGGCGCCTAATTTTCACTGGAAATCATCAAATTTGAATATTTACCCAGCCATGGATTCGCTTGAACGCTCTTTGTATTTTATAAAAAATGTATGCGGACAAAAAAATGTTGGATGTTGGTCACTATCTTTTGCAGAGAGGTTTCGAATGCAAACGCAGTGAAATTTTCAACGTGAGTCCACAAATGTAGCCTTATCTTATCTGTTTCGAATTGGTATGTTTTGAATTGTACACTAAACATTTCTTTCCAATCCTAGGGCTTATAGATGGCGCATGTTTCAAATTCATAAATTCCAGTTTCTCATGACATACCAACAAAAACATCCTAAAATGCACACATTTTTTTTTTTTAGGTAATCGTTTTGATCCGTCTACCATCCATCCCCGAAAACAGACGCACTGTGAACAAAAAGACACGTGATGGAAAAACGACTTGATAGTTTGGAATTTGGATCGAAGTCGCGGTTGTGTTTAGAGAAACATCCCGCACTATTTCAGGTTCGCCCTGATTTGACTGAGACACTGTGCCCAACATCCGATTTGCATCTTGCACGGCCCCCAAGATTAACCAACCAACAAGACAGGTGTGATTCACAAAGGGGGCAGGAACTAAATGGTGTTGGACAAGCAAAGGGTACAGGGGTTTGAGGACAACATAGACACTGCACAAGATGCACCGATTCAAAATCAAAACAAAAATTAAATAAAACATGTACAGTATCCGATATTATCCAATCATAATTAAAAAAACACATGAACACAAGTGAAATGTAGTTTTGCAAAAAATACCGCTGAACTGACCACAAGTGTTTTTGCAGTTGCAGACGAAGTGCGGTGAGGATGGAGTGGACTTATACAATGATACGTGTTTCGAGTGACAATCGGGTGGGTTGTCATCCGTGGGTTTGTTCTGCGGTGTGTCCTCTCTCATTTGCGTTAAAAAATTGTGCCAGCAAATGGCGGCTGGCATCTTGTCAGGCCATGGGCAGAACGTATTTTCACGTTGCCAATTCGACACCTCTTTACGGAATCGCGTTGACTCCAATTTCCCCGATTCTGTTATTGAAGTGGCCCGCAAACTTGCCTGCACAACTTTTATCGAACCTTATTAGTAAATACCCTTGCTCCAATTGCCTTCCCTGATATCATGCCAATGAATAGTCAAACATGTGTCGAACCCCCCCAACATTTTGTGAAAGGTTCAAACCCATCACCGTTTGTTCCACGTAGAAACATTTCAAACGCCTTCATTACAATCACGGACCAAAACGGCGTCGTGAAAACGGCCAAAGGTATCCGAACGGAACAGTTCTCGACGACGTAACTCTTTGAGAGAGGAAAACTAGTTTCCAGCGAATTTGCGAACGGTGCCTTGTAAATTTCAGTGGATGTGGCTGGTTGCCATTCATTATTCCGTAGTTTATTTGGAGTGCTGAAAAAAATATGGGAAAATAGGATCAAAATACTTCGTAGCACGGCTGCACCCTTCAAATTGACTCAATTTGTGGTCATCAATCAGGGAGGTAATTTTCAAATGCCAAGCGACACAGAACCCTTCTACATCCTCCTACGGAATTGCCGTTACCCTTGGACGCTTCCAGGGATGCAGGCAGGAATTTGAAAACAGAAAACAAACGTGCTGGTCGGAAGAAAACACACGTTTGGACACGATAGGAACTGTTTGTTTGGCCGTGTGAAACTAATCTTTCTTTTCCACGCAAACTTGAACACAAAAACACGTTGCAGACTGGAAACAAGCGTTTCCTTCCAAGAATGAACCCTTTTTTCCTGAAAGATAAGTCTTTAACCCAGAAGCAAACCTTTTGGAGACGGTCGTTTTGAACCCAAAAACTCAACACAGACTCAGAAGGAGTCAGTTTGGAAACCTCATAATCGAATAATTTTTGTTTTTGTTTGTTTTGTTTGTTTGTTTGTTTGTTTGCTTGCTTGCTTGCTTGCTAAATTGTTTGTTTGCTTGTTTGTTTGTTTGTTTGTTTGCTTGTTTGTTTGCTTGTTTGTTTGTTTGCTTGTTTGCTTGCTTGCTTGTTTGCTTGCTTGCTTGCTTGTTTGTTTGTTTGTTGGTTCGCTTGTATTCTGGGAAACGTTTGTTGCAAACCCGTCGGTGCATGGTTCGTTTTTTGCCAGCTTCAGTGAAACTTTTGTTGCGCCCCGCCCAAAAAAAAACCTTTCAGTAGAAACTAAAAAAAATGTTTCCCACCCGATGCCAAACCATTGTTTCAAACCTTTGTTTGTGGAAACAACTGTTGTTTCAATTTGTTGTTTTTGCATCTCGAACCTCATGTTTCGTAGGGCGCCCTTTGTCCTTAAAGTTTGGTCTTGCCAATGCTCGGCAGCGCTGTATCGAGCCTCAGCCGCGCCAAAAAAATAGGGCGTCCCTGGTCATGGAAACTTCCAGCCTTTGCCCCGCTCCACATAATTATTTTCACCGTCGTACAAGGTCCTGGGTCCAATGGAGGGCGATGTGAACAAGTGGATCCTGCTGGTGCACACCAACGTGACCCAATTTTTGTGTCCGGCTTTAGGATCCATTGAAGACGCCGAAAATCCGCCAGCGCAAACCAACCCGTGCTAGAAACATCCTTTGCACCAACAGAATCCAACAGACGTAGCAGTACGAGTGGCAAGGGCAACGCTGACAGCACCAACAGACGTAGCAGTACCAGTGGCAATGGCAACGCTGACAGATGACAGGAGGAAACCGGTTTCAACAATTTAATCATAGTAGCAAACACGTCATGGTGCACTGGACTCATCTATGTTCCAGTCCTCCACGTCGGATCACCGTATGGGAAAATGACGATAAACATTTGTATGTTGTTCGTCGTTTTCCTCGAGCAGCGTTGGTTTCCGGTAAAAACATTTAAAAACTAGTTCTGTCAAACACGGTTGTTTGCAAGAGATCACTGGAGAAAAAAAAACGAAGGACATATGAGTTTCAACCCAACGAGACAAACGGTTTACCCTGAAACATGTGCATTTCCCGTCAAAACATGTCCCCGGGGTGGTTTGACAAGGAGATGTGAGAAAGTATTTTGCCAAAAAAAAAGGAAAAACATGTAGAAATATCACGGAATTATTTCATTTGGCGCAACGGGAACAAGACAATGCATGCACTTTTTTTACCTCATGCGGAAAAAAGGACGTAACAAAAAATATTCGAATATGTTTTTCACGCAGAAGGACGCGTTAGCCTTCCAGATGCATTATGCCATCACAGACAGGGCGGCTGTGAGACCAGCAGCAATAGCAAAAACACCAACAGCAACAGCAGCAACAATAGATGGAAAAAAAAATTGGCAATGAAAACATTCAAACTTCACTTCAGCCTCAAGCCTTCACAACTTTCCCAGGTTCCGCTCGCAATTGCCTCCCTTTAAACTGGGAAAAATGGTCTGTCACGGCCGCATTCATGCGACGGCGGGGCTGGGCCCTTGAAAAAGATGAACGTTGAAAACGGTGAGCATCAAGTCCAAGACATTGTAGGTCGACACGAAGATATCGGTCGTATTGTCGCCGATACGGATGCAAGCAAGGCTCGGATGAAATGAAAGAGAGCTTGCGCCTTCGCTAGCTGGAATTAGAATCAAAAATGTTGCCAATTGCGCTGTGCCTCATGGAGAACATGAAACGCAGGAGTGAGGCGTTGGCCTTCCAGAATGTCATCAGGTTCTGTCAACGTTTCAATGGCCACTTGGACATACTGATATTTTCCTGCCCATCTAGGATGAAAACTGGTTCCAAAAAGTCGGACACTATTCACGAAGGGCCCGGGGTGGGATGAAAAATTGAGAAAATGGAATTCGAATGGCATGTGTTGATAAGGTTCCAATTTTTTGTTTTTTTTCCCGAGTTTTTTTCTTGGATTTGCGTAGCGGTGCGGCGTGTTGTTTGCTTGTTCCATGGTGCCAACCGGTGTATTCCTTGGCGTCCATTCATTTCTAGAGTTTTATTTTTTTTGGGGTGTTTTCTTTGTTTTTCACCGTTTTTTTTTTGGTTTTGAACGATTTTGTTTTGTTCTTGCCGTTTTTGGACGTGTTTCTTGCGACTTGCATACATGTGATCACTAGTGGCATGGACGGTTCTGTGTTGTTTGCCGTTGTATTAAGCGTGCATCCATTGTTTCGAACAAACAGGCATGCTAGATCGATAGAGGGATAGATAGATAGAGAGAGGGAAAGAGAGAGAAATATAATTAGATGGATGGATGGATGGATGGATAGACAGATGGATACACAGATATGGATGGATGGATGGAAAGATAGATAGAAAAAAAGAAACATAGATAGATAGATACATAGATAGATAGGTAGATAGGTAGATAGATAGATAGCTAGATAGCTAGCTAGCTCGCTAGCTAGATAGATAGATAGATAGATAGATAGATAGATAGATAGATCAAAAGATACATGGATGGATGGAAAGACAGATAGATAGATACATGGATGGATTCAAAGATGGATAGATGGATGGATGGATGGACGGACAGAATGATACCAATGTGGATGGTCCTCCCACCCCCTCGGTGATGTTTTGACTTTACTCGGAGACTTTCTGTGGTCCAAAAGGTGCTGAGAAAAGAACAAAAATGATGGATGGATGGATTGATTTGTTGACAGATTGGTGGATGGATGGATAAGTAGATGAAATCATTGAAGGATTGGTGGAAAGATAGAGAGACAGACAGGGAAATGAATAGGCAGAAAGGATATACATAGATAGGTAGGTAGATGGATAAATGGATGGATGGATAGACAAAAAAATGGATGGATGGATGGATGGATGGATGGATGGATGGATGGATGGATGGATGGATGGATGGATGGATGGATGGATGGATGGATGGATGGATGGATGGATGGATGGATGGATGGATGGATGGATGGATGGAGATAGATCGAGAGATAGATCGATAGATCGATAGATCGATAGATAGATAGATGGATGGATGGATGGATGGATAGATAGATAGATAGGTAGACAAATCAACAAATAGATAATTAGATAGATAGATACATAGATAGATGGATGGATGGTTGGATGGATAGATAGATAGTTAGATAGATAGATAGATAGATAGACAGTCAACTAGATAGATAGTTAGGTAGTGTCCTTCCTTCCTTCCTTCTTTCCTTCGTTCCTTCCTTCCTGGCCCCTCCTTCTCAAGACACAATCGAAAAAATCCCAAACGCAGAAAAAATGCAAAAACCATAAACCTCATTTTGATAATGGCAAATGTCATGCCTATGATTGGAAAACGTGCCATGGGAAAAACATGTCATGACCTATGTGTTTCACTTGAAACTAGGCAAAATGCAGGACGAACATAAACGCAGGCCAACCACAATGGACAGTCATTTAAGAATCATGTTTAAAATAGTTTGTTATCATGTTCCATGAGAACACCTTAATTTTTGTACATGTTTCTAGCTGACCACAGTGAACCAAACCTGCATTCAAACTTCGCCTCAACCTCACGCCTTCACTCCTGCAAGTTCCGCTCGCAGCTGCTTTCCCTTTAACTGTGGAAGTGGTCACGGCTGCGCTCTTACACCCGGCCGACCGTCTCCATACTGTCCTGTAAGTCAACCGGTTGACATGCCAATCGCTTCCAAACCAATTTTTTTTCGCCGGACAAATGTCCACTGGGTGTGACTAGCTTGCCACTCGTTCAAACCAAATGGAACAGAGGCAGTTCTCCGCCACCTCAAGGATTTTGATCAAAACATGACTGCACTGAACATTGTTAAACCGGGTTTTCACTAAGCCACCCCTTTCTGTCCCATTGTCAGGAAAAAAAACAACCGCTTGGTCCGGCGACGCGGCTGTCGGGCGCAAAATCCGGACAATGAAACAGGCCAAAATAAGGGTCTAGAAATGAAAAATTGGTTTCTTGACAAATTGTTTCCAAACATGTACGACATCATGTGATGTGTGCCGCATGTATCCAGGCCGTGAATACGTCATGAATATTGTCAAACAAAAAGAACGCTTGTGAAAAACCAGGAAGATCAGAAAACAATTGTCCAAAGAGCAGGCTACTCAAATTGCACGGCTGGCAGGCCAAAACCAAAAAACCGAGGACAGGTTAACAATACAGCCAGAAACGTTTCCAGATCTTGGCCACGTAGACGGTGCCCGTGTGGGTGCAGCGCTGATACATCCATGTGCCGGATGGGCGGGTGCAGCGTCAGGCTCAGGGATTGGAGACCTCAAACCCAAAAGCGGCCCCAACGCGTCATTGTTCGCCGTGGGGCTGTCATCAACCGCACCTCAGCTCTGAGAATTGCCACTTCGTCACGAAGACGTCGGGCATGACGATGAATTCGGGCCAACACGCGGACGACCTCCGTGGGCGCCAGGAAATGAAGCTCTTGACCCGATCAACTGCAAAACCTTGTCCAAGGTGAAAAACATAACCCCGAACACGGGCTTGATGGGCGATCGCAACGACGAGCTCCCGGTCGCAAACTAGAAGATGTGTCCTTTGGATTCCACTTGAATTCCGTGAGCGGCGTGTCCCAGAACACTTCAATGTCAAACATTCAAGTATTGGAACGTTGGGTGTGCAGAGAGGGACTTGGCACTTGTGTCAAACGGGGGCGGTGGCGATAGCGAAAGCCAGGGCGCTAAAGACGACCAGAGAGAGGAAAAACAAAATGCAGTGTGTCTGTCTGTGTGTGTATATGAATGTAACCGTTAATGTAAAGGTGTAAATGTGGATGCATGTGGAAAAAAAAATATACATATGAGACTTTTAGGGAATGTTGGATATCAATGGATATCAAGGCCAAGATGGAGTATAGCCAGTATGTCTACGGAAATCAAGAGACGTTGCGATTTGTTACCCGGGTCCACGTGCAAAGTACTTGGCCCAGCACTAGCCAATCGGTCATGCCACGGCCTGGACATGACAACTGAGGCTAGGCCCATCGCGTCGCCGTGCCTGACGGCTTCCGTGCTGGCGATGTTTGAGACAAGGGTGAAGCTTTTGGAGAACAAGCGGGGGCGAGGGAGCGTGGAAGGCAAGCCCCGATCTTTCGTGCAGAAGTGCAAATCACACATTTAGGAAGCCTTTACGGAGAAGTCCTTTGGAACAGAGTCCTCGCCAGTGACGCCGATTGAACGGCAACCACTCCGCCGGGTCACAAGCCAGCGCCCAAAGATCCATGGTTAGAAAGGCGGGCGGACATCCACCAAACCCGCCTTGAACTGGCAGAAGGTCACGAAATGCCGACACCTTTGGAGGAGTTGTTGGTGGAGGAGGAGGAAGTAGACCCGCACCGGTTGAGCCACTGGGCCAAGTGGGTTAGAGCCGCAAGAGGGGCAACTTTTACTCGCACCTATATGATGCGGGAAAAAAATTACTTGAGAATGTTTCCGGGATTCCGCTTGGTGTTTCTGACAAGGCAAAAAATTGGTAATTCGGCGGGCCCCATTGGCGGCACACTTGGCAATTTATGGCATGTCCGGCAAATTCCCCCGGGGACACGATTTTTCGTAAGGAAATTGCAATGTGATTTCTGGCTAGTGAGCCGTTCCAATTCTATGAGGCATCCAGGTGGAGGTTGTCCACCACATCCATTTTCACTATTTTTTCTGCACCAGAGCCTTCCTCATTACAAGGGCGTTGGCAACCAAAATGGACATGATTTGTTCGATTCATTTTGGAACTGGAGGAACACCAGTTGCGCAGGAGGCAAATCTGTAGCGGTTAGTTCAGTTTGCAACCAGGATATATATCAATATATTCGTATTCAAAACATGGTGTATTATGAATAAATATGACAAAGCGATGGGCTCAAACGATGTATTTTGTACAATTTTTGTACAATTTTTTCAGATCATTGCGCATTTTGTCTAAAAAATACTTTGCGGGTGGCAATTTGATTAATTCTTGGTCGGCTTTGTTCGCAGCTGCGGCCATGACGGCCTTCGCCGCCACCCTCCTCCACCTATCTCCTTTTTCCCCTTATAACTGGACACAAGAAACGCATGGTTTTGGATTTGACCTTGGTTTGATAAAGTTGGTTTGAGTGGAATATTGCGGCCCTTGACAGGCAAGTGATTCGATTCGCAGCCAAGGTGCCATGGACAATTCCGGAGCATGTTGCCGCCTTGTATTCGTTTCCAGGCGGTGCATCTTTTCACCGGATTAAATTTGAGGCCAAAACGTTTGCCGGAAAAAAATTAAGCCGGTGTGTGCGTGGTGAGCAATCAATTGTGCAACACATATGTTCGGGGTTTTGTGGGCAAGTCGTCTTGTCTAGTTATCAGACCTGAATTTTTTAGACATACGTTGCCGAGAAAATATTTCTGTTGGACGGAGACTTGCCCATGCAAGCGGCGAACGGAACCAAGACCAAACACATTCATTGTTGCGTATAATGGGCCCTTGGAAATGGCTCGCAAAAAAATAAGAAACTGTAAATAATGCAGGGGAAGTCTGCGAAATAGCGTTGAAAAATTGATGTTGTTGTGCTGCTGCTTCAATTTCGACCGATGCAACCGCATGTTTGTGATAGTGGTCACCACGGCATTTAATGCCTTTCGTTCCTCCATGTTGTTGCTGGTGTGCTTTGTGATGGCTGGGCCCCACACCGGTCCCTTCGGGAACAGGGTTTCTTCTTTGACGCTTTGGTTCGAGCGTCGCAGCACGACCCCGGGGCAACGGGCCGCGCGGAGTCATGTTGTGTGCGGCGATAGTAATGAAGTTTCTTTGGTGTTGCAGGGGATGCTCGCGGTTTGTCCCTTGAAACTTTCAACATTGTTATAGTTTTAGTGGCCGCATGTTACGCTACCTTCCATCGATGTCCGCCCATGACCTTGTTCGCGTTGTTACAGATTTATACCCTAAAAAGGACCCAACAGACATTTAGCCGGGGCGGTTATTAGATTTCAAGATGTTGGCATCCTTCGTTGCATTGCGAAAAATTGTGCAGGGCGGTTCTTTGAAATTTGTTTTTTTCGGCTACATTAATTTCAGCAAGGTTGCGTCATCCAAGTAGTTCCAATGATTTCATTTGGGATCGAAATCGAAGGTTCCCATATCATCACCTTATCATACCTCCATGAGACAGAAACCAAGTTTTTTCAAAAATGGTTTCTGGCATTTTCATTTTGAACAATGAGATTGACAAGTCGGATCATGAAACTTCCCTAAACTTGGCCACATGGCCCACAGGTCCAAACCTTCAGGCACCGTTTTTGACGTGGACCGACACGGACATCCGGTTTGAAATCAATTGATGTTTGAAAAACCTGGAGATCCTGGAGGCCAATGGGCCAATTCCACACCTGCTTCGTACAGCCCAAGGTTCAGCCTCTTGCAACTTTGCATCTCCCTGGCTGCCGGCATTGTCTTGCAGCACCTGGCTGCAGGGATGGGGCAACGAAGAGTCCCGATTCTTTTCGTTCATGATTTTTCCCTTTCTTGGATAAATCACAACTGTTCTGTTGTGTATTCATATGTGTACATTGCACACATGTATATAATATACGTGTTCTTTCTCTCTTTTCCCTCCTCCCTCCCCATAGGTTACGCTTAGTACCTATTTATCTATTCATCCAGGTATCTATTTAACTATTTATTAACCGTAACCTATCTACTTATCTATTTATTAACCAATCTATTTATCTATTTATCTATTTATCTATTTATCTATTTATCCATTTATCTATTTATCTATTTATCTATTTATTTATTTAATAGATAAATAGATATGTATGTATATATATATATGAATAAATAGATAAATAGACAAATAGATAAGTCGATAAATAGAAAAATGAATAAAATATATAGATAAATGGAGAAATAGATAAATAGATAAATAGATGACTTTACTTTCATGGCTATATGAATGCGTTTCGTGGGATTTGGTGGAATGATCTGCCATCGCTGGATTTTTTCGCCAAGGACAGGACAAAAGATGGCGCCAGCGAGTGGGGTTTTCCCAGTGGGCTGCCATGTACCTACTGGGATTTTACATCTGTGACGTGACTTTATTGTTGATATCATGATATGCTAACTTCTATTATTCTTGGAGGAAACGCCATAAATTGCTGGAAATTGGGAGGTCATGGTCAAATTCTTCAGGCAGATGTTTTTTGATGAGAGCTTGGAGAGTTTGGCTGATTTTTGGTCCAATCGGTTGCAGGGATGGAGGATATTCGATCGAAACTGGTGGCTGGGACCATCAGTGGAACGCCCACAGTTGAGGTAACGATCACCATGGTGAAATCGCCCTGAAATGGACCCATTTGTTGTGCCCGAAACGTGGAAACGCCCACATGTAAAACCAACAAATGTAGAGGTCATTGTGTAAACCCCCCAAATAATACAATGATAGCTGCAACAAAAATAGTGTGGATTATTTGACCGAATCATTTTATCATGATTTTACCCATGATTTCACAATGTAACATGGATCCAAGAAACACCGACTGTCAGATGGCGCGCCCTTTCTGGAGCCTGCAGAAGCCAAGTTCCCTGAGCCACGAGAGGATACGGATCATGGATCACCATTTCAGTATTAAAACTGATGGTTTTAATGTGGGATCATATATCCATAAACCATCCCCATTCCACCATTTTTGTGGGTTGAAAATGGTTGAAAGAAACCATCATCTGACAGCGGTGATATCGTGATATATCGGTGTAGATCGTGGATATCGAGAATTTGCTGATACATCAATAGGTATTCATATATCAACTCTGAGAACTTTGGTGATATATCAGCTGGTTTATAAACCTATGGTAGATATATCAGCTATATTAATGGTTGATATATCACTAGATTTCCCGGTGCTTCCCCAAATTCTTTTCCATGAAAAATGATGTATCGCCGTCGAACCGATGAAATGAATGGAGGGTTTTGATGACCCGTCCATGGCTGGAAAGTCCATCATTTTTCGATAAGTTTCCCAGCTGAAAGCTTCCATAGGGCATTTTCCCACCACCTTTGATTAGAAGGTATCTGCATCTGGCATGGTTGTGACTATGGAGTTTTTGATGGTGAATGGCATAGTGATGGTGATAAACCATTATCCCTGTATCTTGCCGTTGCATCAACGATGTACCAATGGGGGGTTCACCTTTTACGGTGCCCAGTGATTTCTAGGACATGATGGCGGCAGAATATTTGATCCATCGCGTGAGCCACGTGGCGAAACCCAGCTTGGCACCGGGCAGTGCACATGCCTGCGACGATGGCCAACAGGCCAGCAAGAACAGGTGCCGCCGGTGCCATTTTTGGGATCCAGGTTTCATCACATTTTGGGAGGAAAAGACATTCATTTCATGTCGAACGACATGGACCGTGTCCAGTCTGTGACATCCAAATTGCTTACAGTGGTCCTTGGATAGTTTCGGATAGTTACAATCTATTTCCTCGATTTCAGAGGGATTTGTTCTGGTCATTTCTTTCCTCCCTCTGACTGCAGGTGTTTGACCCATGAGAGCCGTCAGTATAACTTGATGGGGTCGGCTGGATATGGCCTGAATGCTGGGGGCGTTTAACTTGGAGGAGCCTTAGTAGACCGACACTGGTCCAATATTTACCTCCAAGACTATCATGCAAATTTGAGTTGGGGTGAGCAGTTCACTTACCAGTAGACATTGCAGACTTATGGAAAAAATGCATAGGGGTTAAAGAGCTTTTCTGGATGATGTTACTGCTACCATTACCACATGTGTTTGTTTGCCTTCTGGTCAAACTTACATCGATTTCTTGGAAGGCCTGCTGTGGCTGTTGGTGTTCCAAAATTTTGGTTTGCTCAAACACCAATCACATCCAAAGTGGATCAAATTCAACACCCCAAAACGGCATTTTTGGGATGGCCCTATGGTACAAGGAGCTATTCATTTGGATCTTTTTTTAATGTCAACCCTGTTTATGAATTAGGGGGTGCTCCCCCACATAGTGAACACCTGCACCAAAATTGTAGCTCAACTAGAAAGCAGCCCAGGGGTTTATTGATCGGGCCACTGGTTCATCCGAATTCTGGTTCTCTATCCCATTGATATCCCGGTGAAATTCTGATGGGCTCCCACCATGCCCAGTTCATTGCAAGTCTTCTTGGTTACCCACTGGCATATCCTACTAACACCTTGGTATCTTCTCAGTCCATCATCCGCATAAAACATGTTTCATGTTTCATGCCATCTCTCAGGAAAGATCTCACCCCATCAAAATCCATCAAGAGCATTCTCACGAAGTAAATCTTCCCATTCAAATTCATTCACTAGGTGGTAGGTACTTAGATTTCATATTCACATCCCTTATTCTTTGGTAACTTAACATGGCCATCAAGAGTAACCAATGTTACTAGGTATACAAATCATAAATATTCACGAGTCATTCTTTTTTGCAATGTTTTTTCATTGCCAGCAGCTATGGCCACCTAAGGCATGTGGGTACGGCTTCATAGCCACGACCCACGGCCACTGGTACCCAAGGACCCAAGGAGACGGCCTTCTGCATGCGACACGGTTGAAACTGATGTAGAACCCCATGGTTTCCTGTTGAGAATCCTGGCTCCCGAATTCAGTTCCATGTCGGCTTGCGAAATCAGCAGTTATGCCGTGATCCCCATGGTTTCTTCGTCCGATCATTTTCGTTTGTGAGCCACCTTTTTTTTTGTGGCCGAGGGTTCCAGAGATGAATTTCCTCTATAAACATCACTGGAGTGCGTTGGTCGCTAGTTACACTGAAGTACCAAAAAGGATGGAACAAATTTCTTCGAAGCCTTCTATTTTCCTGGCAACCTACACTTATGGATTTCCCATAGATTTCCCATAGATTTCCCATAGGTTTCCCATGAACCTACGCTTTGACGGTTTCGATTACCCATCTTCGCTGTGAGGCCATGCCAGCTGGACGGCAATGACTTGCCGTGCTGGAACAGTGGCGCCTGGCTGGGCGGCAGTCAGGTGCTTCTTGGAGGGGCATCATCTTTATCTGGATAGTAAGTCCCACAAAGATAGAACCAATTTAAATTATCACCATTTTGAATTTCAGTCGGATTTTACTTCAGGTTTTTCGATTACTATGAAAACTATACATTAACCAAATGAATAAACCCACAAACAAATAAATAATTAAGCAAATAAATAAATGCATATATAAGTAAATGAAATGCTATCCAGTGGTCAAGAAGCTCAGGAGCAATGAGCTCAGGAGCAATGGGTATCCATATTCCCCATTGGCCATGGTGAGCCAGTTGGAGCTTGCCAACCGCATCGTCGTTTTTTTGCATACATTATTTTGAAGTGATATAACATTCATATATGCAAAATAATCTGTGTTCCTGTGTCTATATTCAACATCGAATACCGTATACTATCTATTTCCAAGATCTAATATACACATATCAATACCTACACATATATTCCAATAATTATGGAGACTTTCCGTCGACTTTCCGTCTCCGATTTCGTGTCCAGGTGGTGGAGTGTGAGATGTCCTGCCTACATCAGAAACGTGTCATGCAGCCACAGTATTCCTGCAGTGACTTCACAGGAGTCGAAGCTTGGACCGGGCTCCGCTTGTTTTGCTGAAAAAGGGGGTTAGAATATATGATGATTATGAGTCTGGGTCAAAATTCAAGACCTGGGGGACAGATTTAAGTCTATCGGTATCTACCTTCCAATTAGGTGCATCCAATTTAAGGATCCACATGCATAGAATTGCCATCAACATCGATCAACCTTTGGGTCAACCCAGGGACATGTTACCACCCCTGATGGGTGGTCAAAAATCATCCCCAAATGGTTGTGAAGTTTGATTTTAGCAGGCAGGTTTGTAGATTTGTTTAAAGAAAATAAAGGTACGTTTCTTCATTCGAACTTGGGAAGGTTCTCAAACTCTACTACGTTGGAACCATATCTCATCCCGCGCCGCACCCAAGGATAGCAAGACCTCCTGCTTTGGCCGGGGCGATTCCACGGGCTCTAAGTGCATGTTTGTCACCTACCAGGCTGGTATTCTTGGGATCGTGTCCTTTTCCTAACAACCCTGTTTCGTAAGCACTATCATGGTCATCATATACTATAGTTTGAATATATATATATATATTAAAATTAAAAACCTACTGAGTTGGGATACTATAACCATCTATAACCATCTACAACCACCATAATTATGACCAGAAACCATACCAATTGGCGCCACTCGAAGTCCCGAAGTCAGGATCAGCATGGAGCCGCAAAGTCCTCCTGCGCTCCCTGCGAGTTGCAGGGCGTCGGCAATGTGGATTGCCCTGTGGCGGGTGGAAAAGGCCAGCTGCTGGTTATTTACCCTCTGGTAATTTAACATAGCTATTGAAAATGACAATTTATAGTGGATTTTCCCATTAAAAATGGTGGATCTTTCCATAGCTATGTAAACGTTTACCAGGCCGGGTAGGGAAAATGGGGGGTGAATTTCTAGTGGAAAATCATCATGATGGGAATCGATGGATTAGCCTCTGGAGAATGGGACTTCAAATGGTTTATGGCTGGGTAAACCATCTACAAATGGTTAATCTATGGTTAAATGTGGTTAATATATGGATAATCTATGGTTAATGGTTAATAGTTACCCTCTGGTCAACATACAAAAAGCTATTGAAGCCATGGCCATAGAAATAGTGGATTTTCCCATTGTGTTTACCAGAGGGTAAGGGACAATTTACAGGAAACCCATGGGTTTTTACCATTGAATATGAGATTTTCCTGTGAATTTTCCCCTAAACCAATCCATTGAGAAGAGCCAAAAAAAGATCCGTTGGATCTCAGCCAGGCCCCGAGCTCAACTCCACTGTGACGATGTGCTCCAGCCAATGTGAGGCAGGGTTCATGGGTGCTGGTCACTATGGTCACTGGGGGCGCTTGGAGTTTACCAGGTGCTCTTCAAATCTGTGGGAATTTCTGACTAAATTTACTAAATTGTGTGTTCCGATCTTTTACCTCTTGACTTCTTATCTGTTCTCTGATGAGTTGAACGCCTGAGGTCTGATAGAGATTTAAGGAGGCAACTCCACCTCGGTAATCCCGAATTTTAGCCCAAAGAAAACTGGTTCACCCAGTTGTAAATGGGATAAGTATCCCAGCTATAGCAGCTATACATGGGTCATCAATATTTTTTCCGGCCTTTTTTTGGGGGCATTGATGTTTTTTTCTTTTCCTGTGATGTTTTCTTGTCATTCATGAATTCTACAATGGTTATCAAACCGGCGGTTGTTGATGGTTATCCAATTAGTTACCGTCAACCAAAATCAGATACCATATAGTATTATATATATATTGCCATCCTTTCACGGTTTTTGATGTTTTTTTCTTGCTGGTTCACCACTAGCCATGGCTGGTGACTTTTAGGCACCACGTCCCGATGCCCATGTGACGCTGCCGCCAGCAGTGGGCAACCCAGGTACCGTCCGTTTCGGCGTGGTAGGGGATGGTGGCTTTATGGTGTTTTTTTGGTGGTTTTTAATGGTTTTTATGGTTGTTTTATGATGGTTTTTATGGTGGTTTTATTGGGATACAATGGGAACATCATGGGGATATCATTAGGCCAAACTTGGAGTCCCATAGCAATTGACACCCTTCGGTGTCATCAAATATTGGGGAAGTCTTCGAACTTTCGAAGACTTCCGGCATAACCAGATATATCATTCCCTATCATATCATATATGTGCTAATGAATGGGTAATAATAATGATAATGATAATCATGTCTATTCCACTGGTCAAACACCAGGCCTCAGCCGCGTCGCCGCGGCGCCCGACGCCATGCTCTCGGCGCCCGTGTCGCCACCGCTGGCGCCCGCCGAGTCGGAGACGGCGCTGGCCACACGCGCGCAGGCCGGGGCTGGTGGTGGATGCTCCGGATCGAAACAGGGGCGACCTATGAAACTTGGGAAAACTGAGATTTTTACATGGAAAGAATCACAAAAAATATCTGCGATGCAAACTTGGGGGTTCGAAAATAAGAGGGTTTCAATTGAGAAGAATTAAAGTATGAGAGTTTCAGCCGCCAACAGAGAGAATTCCGTGTAGGAAATCTGGATTTGCCAAATATGGGATGAATCAAAGTTGGAGATTATCAATCGATTCGGGTTCCAAGGAGCCATGGCGCGTGAAACTCTACAAGCGACGGGATACACTGCCCCTCTGTGCACAGCTTGGGCTCTAAATTGAAACCATAGCCATTTAGAGATCTATATATTTTGCTTTTCACAAATCGATCCTGGAAAAGCAACTTGTTTCTTCAATGCCCGGGCGCGATGACGTAAATCTTTCACGGGAGGTCCCATCCGTCGCAGGTGGCAAGCGCGATGACCACCACGACTCCTTATGGCCCCTTGGTCGACTGGGACATGGCCACGCTGGAGGTGATCCAGTGTTGATTTCAGAACCTACTGGCAACATGGGACGTTCCCGAAGAGAGATTTTCCAGAGGGTTAGACATGGTGAGATATCCAGAAAAGGCGGCGGCATTTTAATTTTCACACTTCCCACTCTTCATTCCAATACTGCTATTGTGCTTCTAGCGACAAAGGGGGTGCAACTTTCCCCAAATATGCATCATATGAATCATATCAATCATTGTGAGGCTACACTTTTCACACAATCTTTTGACTTTTGGACTTCCAACGAACGAACCAACCATCTTTTTGTGGATTGATATTTGTGAGAGATAACCACCACCAAATGTCAGTGGAAAGGTTGTTGGGGGCTCTTCAGCTCAGGCAAAGCTCCGAACTACTTCCCAATGGCGGCTCAACTGCAATGCTTCCAAGTTCCAAAAGAGGCCTCAAAGATCAAAAGGATGAAGTCTGCCTCAGATTCTAAAGGATGTGGTATTGATGTTTTGATGGATGGCCTTTTCTTTGATTCTTTGTCATGTTATTGTCTCCATTTTAGTTGCAGAGGATTACTCTTTATCTTATCCCCTTAAGATCCACAAAAAAAAAGCAGAGGATTCTCGGAAGAGGTACTTCGTGCTTAGACCTCATAGTGATATCCATGAAACAAACACCCCTCATCACCCCTCTCTCTCTATGATTTATTTATTTGATTTCTGTTATGTTTATTCATTTTCTTGAACTTGTTTTATGTGGCTAAAACAATACCATGTCTACCATCCCCCAGTCACCATAAATATATAGGTGGTGTAGTATGGATCCAATCAAATAAATGGAATATCTTCTATTCATGATCCATTAATTTTGCATCATAATTCCTCTTTCTTAATCCCAATAGAATATTCTAATCAGAGGTTTGGATCAATAATAGAGGTTATTCACAATTTCCATCCCATTTGATCAAATTATTAATGGGATAGATGGTTATCATGATCATTATTAGATTAACCAATCATTATTAATGGGATCGATGGTTATCAAATAGGATGGGATTAACCATTTATTCATGGGATGAATCAATGGGATGTTATCATGATAACCATTTATTAATGGGATCCCATCATGGATTAATGGGATTAACCATCATTGATAACTATTAATAGATTCATTCCATTAATTAATCACCCATAGATAACCATTATTAATGGGATGAATCAATGGATGGGATAACCATCAATGGGAGTATTCATCCATAGAGCTTTCTGATCAACTTGCTCTCCGGCGCCTCAGGTGGTCTACCGCAGCCCGCAGGACGTGAGCGCCGCCACGCTGCCCGCCGCCGCGCAAGCGCTGCCGTGGCCCGTGGAGCTGCCGAAGCTGGAGGTGGGACATCCCGGTGGGACCACAACGGGGGAAAAGGTCAAGAAATGTGACGAATCTGGTGGAAAATGCTGGAAAATGTTGGAAACTGGTGGATGAAATGGTGAGAAAAATGGATAAAATGGTGAGAACATGGTGGAACATATGATGGAAAATGGTGGAACAGCGATGAACATCCTAGAGAATATGATGGGAAATCTGGGGAAATTGGAACGTCTAAATCATGAAACATGTGGAAACGCACCCTCCAGCAAACATCCAAAATATATGGAAGAAGTCATGGTTCCCCGATGAAAACGAATTACACTTGGTGGATGTTCCATATGTTAATTAACTGAGGAGGAAATATGAGGCCAGAAAGGGGAACATGCATGGAAGATGTCGGAAAACATATAGGAAAACATGGAAACTGATGGGGCAGCCACCCCCAGATCTCCAAACCTTACTGCACACCTAAAACATTCCTGGTTTTTGCTTCCCTATCGGCAAATGGATGTGATCGTCCCCCGACACTTGCGACCCTCAGGAAACGAACAACTGAGCCGTGGCGGATGAAACGGCCAGTTTCTACTCGTTGGGATGAACCAAATCTAAATCATCAACAATGGTTCTGTTCACAGATGGGCTCAAACCATCTAAACATGCACACGACTTGGAAATCGTCATGTGATTAGTGATTCCCCATATTTCTGCTGGATCTTGTAGGTGGCGCATCCCATTCAAAAGGGAAGTCAGGGCAGGACCTGCTTCTGACACTGCGAGAAGAGTGCATTCAGACACAAAAAAAAGGCGAAGCTCCATAGCAATCAGATGCTTGGGAAACCATCCATTTAAAATGGTTCCCAAGAATTGATTTTTGTCGACCTCTGCCCCACGCCATGTCACACCTTCAAGTTGGTTTCAGATTCGCACTTCTGTCAACCAGTGGGCCAGGTGTGGTGGAAATGTATGGAAATCTTCTCTTCCACCACTTGTCACTTTTTGTTTGTCACGGCCTTGAAGATCAGAGGTGGAGCTGTTCCTTTTCTCAGGGAACTGTTGGCTGCCATTGGCTCCAGTTCTCACCCAGCAGATAGCTATGATCCAAGCAGATGCTCACAGTAGATTCAATGTGCACCCCAGGCATCTCCGACACCAATGTGAATCCCGATTCTTCACCTTACTCCAGTTATCCAGGTTTTCAACACCACTTCATCACACTTCCCCCAATTATTTCTGTATAGATAGATAGATAGATAGACAGATAGATAGATAGATAGATGTATATATATATATATGTATATGCTACCACATCCCCTTGCCCCATTTCCCAGCCACCAACCTTCCGCTCCGCTCTTCTGCGTTGCGTCATGCCGCCATGGCTGCTGCTGCTGTGCCAGGCCGCGCGCTGGAACCACTTGGATCAGCTCAGCGACGTGGCGAAGCAGGGCGCCTTCGGCGCCAATGCGCGCTGCAGCGGCGAGGGCTTCATCTACGGCGGAACGTTGCTGCACGAGGCAGCTGGAGCTGGTCCCTTGGGAGTTCGGTTGGATGGGATGGGGGGATGGGATTTCCGGATTTGCCATGGTTTTGTTGGGCTTCAGCGACTTTACCTGGTAATTTTCGGGATGGGGATGGGATTGATTTCTTTTTTTTTTGTCGGACGCTATTTTTAGAGGGGTTACCTGGTGGATGGGATTGCGAATTTGAATGGATCGAACTGAAGATGGAGTGAAATCTGAACAGCACAATGGCACAATCACACCATATCAAACATATAAAAACAGGTCAAAAACCACAAGAATCGACATCAAACAAGCAGAACTTACATCATTTTCTATCCTATCACCACCCAAAAAATCATCCAACAAAAAGGATTTTTTTTTCAGTACATACACCACCATTTTTTCACTGCATCCCACTGCCATGTTGTTTTCCGATTTTTTTCCGATTTCCCAGGCCATGCAGAGGCAGTGCGGCTTCTGCTGGAGGCCGGTGCCATGGTCGAGGCTGAGGATCGCTTTGAGATGACGCCCTTGGGCTGGGCCGCCTTCGCAGGTGGGGACCAAAAATCACTGGATTGGTTTAAGGGAGAATCTTAACCGGAAACCATGGTTTTTACCATCAAATATAGGGCTTTCCTGTAAATTTTCCCATAATCCAATTCTATGACAAATCCGTGGCAAAAGATGGGGAGAAACAGCCACGAAACAAAATGATGGATGTGGATTTTAGGGATTTTCACAGGAAGGGACTCTTGAATACTGGGATGGGATTATACAGAAATGTGATCCGAAAGATGACATTAAAAAAGCACATCTTTTTTTCATCCCACCATGTTATTGGGATGCTTCCCACCATTTCTTTGCCCAACATGTTTTCTTTGGACGAGCTCAAACCGGACCCCGGACCTTGGGGTATCTCCGCCGTCCCAGGTCATGTGGAAGCCAGCAAGGTCCTTCTGTCCCACGGTGCCCAGCTGGACTCGCAGGATGAATTTCTGATGACACCTCTGGCCACGGCGGTGAAGGAAGGCCAGGCACTCACGTGGCACCGTTCGTGTCCTGTTTTTTTTGAGGGATAAAAACTATGGTTTACCAATTTCCAAGCCATGGTGTTACCTTAACCTTACAAAACTGAAGGCAATTCTGAAAGTGAAGGACCAGGTGACTCTGAAAATTCCCATGGGTAAATTCAAGTTCCACCCATTTTCCATCCATTTTCCATAGATTTTCCATGGGTTTTTCCACCTTTTTGGGGGCCATTGAAGCCATCCCCCCGGGGGCCTTCGGAGCGCGGAGGTCACCTCCGCGTGGCTCAGCTGCTGATCGCCCACCGGGCGGATCTCAACGCGCGGGCGCAGCTGGGCCGCACGCCGCTGATGGAGGCTGCGCGGCAAGGTGCCGTTTTTTGGGGGTCCCTGGGAATTTTTGGAATCGCCAGACATGTATCCATCATATATGTGATTATATATGTGTAATATATATGTATAGATATATATGTATAGATAGATGTATAGATATGTATAGATAGACGTAGATATATACATATATGTATATATAAATGCCACACACATGTATATATATACATATATATATGTATATCTCTCTATGTGTATATGTCTGTGCAATTACAACCACAACAGCGTCGCCAGGGCACCTGAAATTGGCTCAGCTGTTGCTGCAGCACCACTGCGACATGGATGCAACAGATGACTTGGGACGACCTGCATTGGTAGAGGCCACAGTGAAAGGTGCGGCTTGCGGCTGGGTGTCATCAAACGTTGCTGGAAAATCACATATACATGGAAGTTTTAATGGGAAAATATGGGAAAATCCTTTATAAATCTCCAAACTCATTGAATCTCCAAAGTCCACTTGCTTCCAAAGTTTAGGATTGAACCAACCAGATCGCAGGATGATCTGCAGTTGAACCATGTTTCATGTTCTTGAAATGTTGCAGCCCCTTCCCAGTGTTTATATTTACCATATTTGATGTGAAAACAGTGAAAACCATGTTTTTACACATTACTTGGTTGAGTTGTTTTTTTCGTGTTTTTTTTTTATGGCTTCCCCCCATACCTCATCGGGAAATTGGTTTTCCTATGGTTTTTCCAATGTTTTCCCTTCAGGCGATCTGAAGATGGTTCAGCTCTTGGTCGAGGGTGGTGCCAACGTCTTTGGCAACACCAAGCAGGGCTTACCCTACTACCTCACTGGCACCTCACAGGTTCGAAACTTTGATGAAAATCCCTGCGATTGAATGGGTCAGGCTGACCACATCTCCCGAAACAGCTGTTGAATTTTCCTCACTTTTTGTAGCCATTGATTTTTCAATTTTTTCCTGGACGCACTTTCATAGTTTGTTTTGTTGCTCTAAATTTCTCTTCAGGTGAACGACTACGTGACCACATATACCAAAACAAAATCCTCAGGCTATCATGACATGCGTATGTGATATATGTGCATATACTGTATAATTATATATATATAATACTCCGTATGTACATATGCGCACACACACACACATAAACACACACACACACATAAACACACACACACATTGCGAATATGCTGCCCTTATTGATTTCGGGGTGACCCTGTCTACCCAGCCTGGAAAACCCTGTTTTCTCCTGCCTGAATGATAAGTCCCTTCCCTCCCACCACTGTGGTGGTTTGAGAAGGCCGCGGAGGACGGCGATGGCCGACGATGCACATGCAGTCATGAATCATGGTCCCTTCAACACTGGTCCAAAATTAAAAATTAAACAAAAAATTGAGACAATGTTCACTTTGATTCATGAAGTGCACCTGGCTCATCTTGCAGCCATTTGAGTCTCTCTCTTTTGGTGGCTCGTTGTTTTAATGTCTCTTTTTCATCAAACAATGAATACCGCCCAGACCTAAGACACTCCCTGAGTACCCCAGCATCCATACTCTTGGTCAAAGAATCTGCAAGCATTGCTTGTGAGTTGATCCACCTGAGAGAAACATTCTCTTGCAAACGCTCTCGAATTAATAAACATTCCAGCAAGGTCCTGTACTCACTACAGGCTGGTGGCGCGTTTTTTGTTGCCACATCGAAGACTGATTTGCAATCAGTCACAGCGTTGCATCTGGGTGCCTTTTCCAAAATGGCCTCAGGGCTAGCCCAGTCTATGCTGGGATTCTTCAGCCACTCCCAGGATATCCGGATGAAACTCAAGCGATCCAACGTGTGACTCAATGCAATCGCCTCTGCACTCAGAGTTGAAGTTACAACCCTTGGTATCTTTCTAGAGCTCCATGCCATTGGACAAACAACAGCTTTCTGATTCTCACCTAAAGAACTGCTTGTGGAGAAAATCAAGGTACCCTGACGGGACGACAACTTGTTGGCTGTGGCAAATGAAGCGTCCGAAAAGGCGCAGAAAGTCACCTCATGTACTGGAATCGGTACAATCAATAGACACACTGCATGCTGTTTCCCCTCATATAGGATCCTGTTTCCTTCCAACATGTCCTTGACCTTTCCCCCGGGAATACTAGCCTGCAACTGTCCCACTTTTGCCGATAGATCGGGTCTTGAATGTACCGCAGCAAATTGGAGACTTCCGCAAAGACCTCTGAGGCATTGCTTTTCGGCATCTGTCAATGGTGCATCAGGTTCCGCTCTCCGATTCTTTGGAACATTGAGGGGTTCTATCTTGTGGATATACTCTCTTTGATCAAGCTCAATTGTCCCATCATCCCACTGCTTATAATGTACCCCACAAAAATCGAACTCATGTTGGTTATATGCTCCAAAGCTGAACCGTTTTCTGAGCTGTTGGAGTACATCATGAAAATAACTGTCTCCTCCCCCAATGCCATCATCAACATGGATTCCTAAGACACCGCGAACGAGTGGTTTGCCTTTGGGACCTTCGGTGATCAAGGAAAACAAACATCCATCAAAAGGACAAACAACAAAACTAAGCTCAACCAAAACCCGCTTCAATTCACAGTACCAAAGATAAGGGGCATCAACACGTCCATAGGCTCCACCCTTTAATAAACATTGATCACCATTTTGCATTTTGAGAGCTTGTTTCAGCTCTTCAGGTGGGTGTATGCCCAAAGTCCTCCCGTCGCCTTGGCCCTTCAAAAAGGCTGTCGAGATATCGAAATTTAAAAGGTCCCAGCGATTGCTGGCGACCAGCTGTAGAAGGAGCTGACGGCCATCCTTTGAAAGTGTCGGAGCATCCCTGGGAATCTCTGCCAAACCAGGGTCTTCAAAACCTAAAACGACAAGTCTCGCCTTTGCGCGGCGACCAACTCCTCCTACCTCTGGTGCTTTCCAAGTGAGTATCCATCGACAGCGCATGATTTGATCGGATCGTAGGCTACCTCGTGCTACCTTTTGAACAGTTCCATGGTCTATCCAGGCCTTTATTTCCTTTGACTTCGCCGTATCAAAAAGCTCCTGATCTGTGACACTCAAATCACGATACTTCACCTCAACCTTTTGTTTCCTGGCCGTGGACGCAACCAAGATCTGCTCAGCAAAAAGCACGTGCAGCTCTGTGGAACTTGGTTCGACATCGCTCCATTGCACATTGTTCCATTGACTTTCACAGAGTTCAATTTCCCATATCCCTGAGTGTGGTGATATTTCGACATCATCCCCAAAAGCACACAAACCCTCTTCATCATCATCATCATCATCGGGAACAGGTATTTCATGGGGCTCCAACTCTTTATCATCACCAACCATAGTATCTCCATTTTGGGATGTTTCAGAAGGGATTGACTCTGGTGGGAACATTTCATTTTCCGGCTGTGAGCCCTCATTCGAAGGTGGCAGGTCTTCTCCGATGGACGGTGAATACCCCTCAGATTCAGCTATCTCGGGACTAGGGAGGTCATCACCCAAACTTACGAAACCCCTTCCATGAGGTTGTTCATCCAAGACAATCCCATCACCTCCTTTTGGCAGCCGTTGATATTCACGCAGTGACGCCGGTCGCAACTGCTCGGGACTGGCTCTAATGAGACGGCCTAAATGACTCAACCAAACAACCTTCTTACCCTCAACAACAATAACCTGGGCCGGCCCATGCCATCGACCCCTCTCCAACCTAGAGTTTGTTTTGGCTCGTCTCCAATAGAGTACCCAGTCCCCAGCTTCGCATTCAACGATTCCGGGCCTGTTTCTTCGTAATAGTGCCCGCCTGAAAGCTGAGTCATTATCAGCCTGGACAAATGCCCGCCTCGCAACTTCTCGGCGTTTCAAGCTTTCTCGAAACCACAGGCCCTCGGTACTGTCACTTTCAGCGAGGGCATGACTGCCCATTTCTTCATCAGCTGTCAGTGAACCTGGAAGGGCTCTTGACTTTCCCAGAAGACATTGTTCCGGGGTAAATCCGTGAACACGGCTTAATGAGTTCTTTGCAGCAAAGGCTTGTCGGAGATTCCTTCGGAAGTCATCGGCATTACCTACAGGACACTCTTGATCCATGCGTGTCAACATGTCCTTTACAATCCTACCATGAACCTCACACCTTCCATTCTGCCAATGTGCTTCAGCTGCAATCATAGAAGCCTTTATGTTCTCGGATTGAAGATATTGGGCCCATTCTTCACTATTGTACTCACCAGCTGGATCCATGTATAGCAAACGACATGGACCTGCCCACTGGGTCCAAGCTGTTTCAAAAGCGTGAACCTGAGCCTCAAAATGTCGGTCACTGGGAACACCTACATGGAACAGTGTGGCTTCATCGATGAAGTGCATGAAATGGTACTTGTGCCCCTTTGTACTGGTCCAGTATGCCCCATCACAACCCACAACATCATTGAAGTCCAAATTCCCATGAATCCTACTAGGCTGTGATAGTTTTGGTTTCCCTTGTGATTCCAGACACACATCACACTGCATGTCTTCACATCCTCGGATAATCTCTGGTTTGGCACCACGCTCTTTCAAAAACTTGACCATTCGTGATGGATCAGGATGCCCCAAATTTCGATGCAACCTCCTCAAATCACGTTGCTCGTGCAGTTCCAACTTCAAAAACTGGGGTCCAGACTTCGGTATTATTCGTGGTGCCCAACCTTCTGATGACATGGATGTGTGAGACATGCTTGGAACGGCCCCGCATTCTGCTGGTGGCATCACTTCATCGGCAGCTACGAGTGGCTCACTGAGCACAGACGGATGTACCGTGCTAGGTACGTCGGGAACATTTGCCTCTTTGAGCACTGCTGCAGCACTAACTGGAACGGATGGTTCCCCATGTCCAATCAACTCACCAAACATTGTGAGAGAAATCCTGGCTGGTCCCGTCTTCCGGGTTTGACGCAGCTTCGGCAATCTAGTCCATTCTTCAGGGGGACCCAAATCACGAACTGCACCCGTACTCCTATCTACGATTACAGTCTTTCGCCATGGATATCTCTCAGTGCCAGGTGGTGACGACATGATCCGATATCTTTCGGTGCCACGACAAGCAATCATAGTTTTGATTCTCATTTCCGGAACCAATTGTTGGGCCAAGCTCACAACCAGCTCCCCTTCCCCAAAATAATAGTTGCCAACCCGGGGAGTCTGATACCCAACCGTACGAAAAATAGCCTCCCAAGTGGGTGCCTTCCCATACATTGATGTCTCTGGTTGCTTGTCATACACCCTATGTCTTTTCTGCAGCTGCAGTGCCTCTGGTGCCATTTCGGGTCGATCGTGTTCCTCTAAACCAAGAATCATTTCCTCAATTACAAGTGGACTTTCAGGGTCTGACCAGCGACAAACACACCCTGCAACCTTACGTGCGAAACCCAGCGTGTACCCTTTGGCAAAACTGGAAACATTTACCCATTTACCCTTTATCTTGGTCTTCCCTTTGATATGGGTATGAGCATGGTTCCTAGTACAAAACTCTGAATGTAGGGTATCAAACATGCGACGACTGGTGGTAAAAACCTGTGTCCGTTTTTGCAAATATGACTCCTGTTGAGGAAGTTTGAGGCTAGCGACATGGCACATGTCAAACGTAGCTGGCAGGGTTCCCAATTTGGCATCCGTCATTTCAGGTTGATCTATCATTTCAGAACCCAAAGGTTGTTCAAGATGGAAATGTCGATTGGCTCCTACCTGATGCATGTACAGGTCATTGCACAATTTCAGATGGCATCGGTCTCTCTCTCTCTCTCAGTTTGAATTTTGTCAAAAAGAGTGGGACTTCTGCCCATATTGAAACGGGAAAACCTCCCCCAAAGTCGGCATTCAGGTGCTACCCATATGTGTTGTGGCTCATACATCATGATCCATGTCCACAATTTCTGAACCCCTTCAGTGGTTGATAAATCCCCATCTGCTCGTGAGAATCTTATGGCGCAACCACCCCTGGCATTTACTTGTTGTGCAAGCTGTGAATTGGGTTCACAATAGATTTCCAGAAGATCAACCTGTCGACCATAGCATTCCGGATGAGACCCCGACACCTGTGTCTTCTTTGTCCTTTGAGAACTTCCCCCATGACAATCGGTGATGAAAGACAACTCCTTTTCCATCATGTCAACCCTTCGCAAAATAGCTTCATGAATCAACAGTTCTTCTTGGGGTTTCAGGTTCTTGAGGGGTTCATCACTCATGATCATTGCTACTTGTTGATCTACTTTTCCTATGCCATCTCGTTGACCGCTGGTGGGCCGTGAGACACTTGGGATCCATTGATCTCCTTTTCGAGCTCCCGCTGAAGAATGGCGATCTTGGTCTGAAGCTCGATCACCCGCTCCGGAGAGGCCTCTACTGCCATGTCCGACTGTTCCTCCTCTGCTGGTCGTTTCAGATCGTTCTTGGTTCGATGCACCTCTTGGTTGCTGCTCTGTGCCACCTCGGTCCATCCTTCTTCCACTTTCTTGGATCTCTGTCCCTTCGTCGGTAGCAATGGCATCTGTCGGTCCTTCTCCAGTGCTTGATTCGTGATCTCCAGTCGTGCTCTGGTATACATCTGTAGGCTTCTGACCCATGCTGATACTCCTTTCCGATTCTTCAGTTGAAACAGGTAACATGGATCCTTGTCGTAGATCTCGGCAAATGTCTTTCCGGGATGCTTGCCAGCTTGGGCTCGCACCTGGCCCCATTCTTCCAGGGTTTGAATCCCCGGTGGCTTCATGATCTCCCCCGCGGCTGTGTACTGATCCTTCACCCAGAGTGTCTGGTCCTCCGGCATTTGTAACTCTGATGTCATGTACGGCGAGGGCTTGCTTTGGGCCATGGTGGATGGTCACTGGTCGATCACTTGCTTTCTCTTGAGATTCGAATTGAGCTGCAAGATATAAGTTTGACTCTATGAAACGTTCCATCTGCTTTTGATCAGGTTCGGACCTCTTTTCAGGAATCTCGTCTTCTACACATTTATCTTTGGCTTCTTTGATTGTCTTCGATTCATTCTCATGCTGGTCACTTACATTAACATGTGTGGGATGAGAGGGAATAGGCTCATTTTGACTACAGGTTCGCTCAACATGCATGATGGTATCTTCCTCATGACCTGACCTCATGACCTGTGTGGGTGGTGACTTCAAAAGCAAATCCATGACCTTTACTCCAAGGAGATTTTTCCGACATGTATGAAGTGTGATCTCCCCAGGAAACCCCTTGAACCGAAGCTTTTGATCCTCAACATCAACAACACCCTTTAATCCCTTCAAGATTGAGTTTGACACGAGGAACGGTGTCTGCCCGGGCACCACTTCAATGCGGATCCAGCCGTTTTTCCCGCGAGGAAGCGGCAAGGCATACTGGCTAGTCAATTTGGAAGAATTCCCAAACTTAAAAGTGACACCGGGGGTAGGGGCCTTATATACCATGCTCCTAAGTTCAGGGGTAAATGACTGCAACAAACCATGAACCCGACTCTCCCCGATCACCGCCCGGCTGGCCCCAGTATCAATGATGGCATCGCCATCTGCTTCCTCGGAGTTAAAAAGACAGCTCTCATCAGAAAAACAGGCTCCCTTTTGGAGCTCTGCGCCGATGGCTGCTTTCTCGGCCTTTGATCCCTGACTGTCTGGCACCGCAGCTGCATCAAGTTGGAACTTACGATGTTTCCTACAGCATTTCATCAAATTGGCTGCCAAATCATTGGAAAACTTGGACGTGTATTTGAAATCTTGAAGGGAGGTGGCCATGAAACATTCATGAACTTCACGTTCAGATTCAAAATTTGCAACATGTTTAATTGTGGGATGATAAACAATTTCAGGTTCAAAACTTGTGTCATGTGTTTTCTGTACATGTCCTGACACCCCGTCCTGCATGAACACCACAGCGTCCTCCGGCAACGTTGTTACCACGTCATCCTCAATGTCATGGTTCGCCATCATCTCATCCATGGCAATGCCCGTGAAGGCTGTCTTGTCCTTTTCCTTGTCGCCTCCATTGAGTGGGCATTCTCGACGCCAATGGCCTGGTTGGCCGCACTTCCTGCATGTTGAGTTGGCGCTCGGCTAGACTGCGTCGTCTGGCTGGCATTGACATCGCATGATTTCCCATGTTCTTCCCTTTCTTTCCACCACCACGGCCTTTCCCTTTGGAGAAGCCCCCCGACCGAAGTGGCCAGAAGCCCCTGGTGCGAGCCTTTTCTCGCAATCTGTCACGTGCTTCCTGGTAGCTTGTGAAGCACGATGCCAGTTCAGGGCTGTCCTGGCATGTGAGGACCACTTGCTCCTCGAAGTCCTGAATGAACTGAGCATCCTCATCATTCTCATCCAGCATCATTTGATACACCGTTTCTTCATCCAGTTCAACCTCTTGCGTCGTGTATGTGGCCATCTCTTCAGTCTCATCTGTGTGGTACACATCATAGGTCTTTTGCCGCGACCCTGTCTTGCCTGAGTTTTGGAGATCCTGAAAGAATCTTGAGCCCAGAAGACGTATGCTCCGACGTGCTTCCTCATATTTCAACTTTCCACCGCAATCCATGATGATCTTCTTCCTGTCTTCGGCATTCAATGCTGACTGACGGATCATCACATAGGCTCTCACCTCCTCGATCTTGACCTGTTTCGTTACCAAATCCTCAAAAGCCACATCATGTCGATTCAGATAGCTATCGTGAGATTCATCAGCCTTCTGTTGGGTGGAGTAGAGGGCACGTTCGAACAGATCATATCTGTCTTCTTCCTCCAAGCGTCCCCATTGACCGCCCAAGGCCTCAACAAGGTACTGGACTCCTTCTCGGCAGCGTAGCTTCTCTGCACTGAGACGAGCCACCTTTTGGAAGCCCACTCCTTCCACCATGAGTGCTGCACGGGGAGCCAAGTGTTCGATATGTTCACTTGGCCACAAATCTCTCAGGAACTCCAGCTTCTTGGCATAGCTCCGCAAGTCCGTTGTGCCTGGCTCGAACTTGGGGATCTGATGCCACGGCAAAGCTGATGTGGGCAGCTGACTTGCCCCGGATCCCGCTGCTTCCGCAGCTCCCGATACCGGCTCCATGGCTCACCTTCTTCCTAGGTGAAAAGTCGTTGCCTAGAACCCTGTCCTAAGCTCTTCCTAGAAAACCCTGTTTTCTAAAATTACTGCGGCAGCCCGAGGGCTCCGCTACCAATGCGAATATGCTGCCCTTATTGATTTCGGGGTGACCCTGTCTACCCAGCCTGGAAAACCCTGTTTTCTCCTGCCTGAATGATAAGTCCCTTCCCTCCCACCACTGTGGTGGTTTGAGAAGGCCGCGGAGGACGGCGATGGCCGACGATGCACATGCAGTCATGAATCATGGTCCCTTCAACAACACACACATATATATATATATACACATGTATTTTGATTTTTTCTTTGGGAGTTGTGTTGATTTCCAGGTGAAGGACTACATCTACCAGCAGATGAAATTCAGCGCTCTGCTGCACCGCAGCTGGGCCATGTGGGTCCTGGCCATGGCGCCTCTGCTGGGCTTCGTCTGGGCCATTGCCATGCTGGACGTCCGGAGCCAACGGAGTTTCATGCGCCTGTGGCGCAGCTGCAACCGTTGGGAAAAGCCATGGGTTTAGCCATGAAAGATGTAGGTTACCCAGCAAAAATGGAGACTTACCCTGATGTTTTCTATGAAAAATCACTGGTTTGAACATCAACCGTATGGTTTTATTTCAACAATGAAATGATGTGTTTAATCCCAAAGTTGGGTTGACACGTCCGTCAACCCGGTGGACACCCCCATGGTTTATCACAAGTCACAGGATGATAGCCGCTGATAGCCTGGAAAAATGGGATGGTTAGACCATAAAACCACCAGAAATGGGAGAAAACGAAGAAAATGGTGACATAGGAAGGATGGAATGTACTCCCTAAGTGTCCGAGAGCCGACGTTTGCAGGTTGCATGATGAGGAATTGCTACTCGGTGCGGATTGAGCCATGGTTCATGGTTGGGGCGCACGATTCTGGTAGGACTGAGTTGATGTCACATTTTGTCACCCCAAAAGGATTGCTGGCATTTTTTTCTTCTTTCTCTAGTGTTGTTCGTGTTTCAGCTTTGGCTTGTCACCTTCAACATCTAGGTCTGAGGACCCTGCTTCACAGCAAGCGGCTTCGTGTGTGGGGAAAGCGGCTGCGATCGACGTGAGCACCGACCCCTTCTACCAAGGAGCTCTGGTCATTTGGCTGTTACTTTCTTAATCTTAACTAAATTAACCAAATGAACCAAATTAACCAGGTAAAAGAAGTTGACCAAGGATGGTTGCCAGAACCATCCTCTGCACTGACAAATGATATGCCATCCTCTGCACTGACAAATGATATTTAACGGATGTTTTTTTAGTGGGTTGCCATCACAAAACCATCCAACACCTTTACAAACCATCAAACATCGTCAAACCAAGCGCCAGAGCCATATATGGCATGGTGAGTCCCTTTCAGTCCCTAGGTGCTCCTTGCCAAATCGAAGAATTGGCG